GGATATTAATTCTTCTTGTCTAAAGTTCTAGATGTTTCTAAAGAGCCATAGCAGGGGCAGGCAAGATCAGCCTGCCAGCAGCCTGACTCTGTATGTGAGCACCCCTTGGGGTTGCCTTAGGCACATCTTCATGCATTTTAGGACTCTGTGCTTACATCTACCATTCGCATTAGGGAGTTGACATTGTTCTCACTGCCCAGTCCTAGGCTGGCAGGTAGAAAACGGTTGATGGGTTGGCCAATCTGGGTGCTTCCTTCCACAGGATATGGTTGAACCTATCAAGTCAGCTGCCCCCAGCATTTCAAGCCCCAGGTATCAGCTCTCTGTGAGTTTAGAACGTCCCTTGTTTTCATTTTTAGCAAGTTCTATCCAGGAATGTTTCAAGCTGTGGGTTCCCTCTATCCATCTGCTGTCAATTGTTTTCTTGCTTTCAGATTCTTTGTAGATTTTGATCCATGGAGCATACTTCTTATTATGCAGTGTAGTTGTAAATTCCTATGTATCTATCTATTTATTTTTCATTTCCATGGTTTTGGGTAGGATGAAGAAGGTAACAACTTGCCTGATTTGCTGACCTGATTCGACCTTCCCTCCCTTCTCTCCTTTTTGAAAAAGAGAGTGTGAAAGGAGGAGAGATGCTAGAGAGAGGGTGAAGAGAGTTATTTTGACTGGGTCTCATGTCACAATCCTCTTTCCCAGTCTTCCAGTCAGCGAGGACCACAGGCACTCACTGCTACACCTGGTCTGTTTAGTCTGGGACAGAAATAGCCTGGGCTTCCCCATGTGGCCTTAGCCATGCAGGGTGATGGCCTCCCACTGTACCCCTGTGGCTGGGCCCCTCACATTTTTTCAAATCATTTCATACTCCAAATCACCTGTTTTTACATTTCAAAAAGTCTAGTTAATTAGAAATTGAAGTAGATAGGTTAAGTCAGTGCTTTCTTATTGGGTCTCAGTAAAATTAGGGTACAGTTTTTTTTCCCCCTCCTTGAAACACACATGGTTCGCTCAGTTCATTGTGCCAGAAAGTATACTAGTATCTGCTTTATGCCTCCTTTCTTTTTATCACTGATGAGATCTGTGAAACCTGTCATCTTTGTGATTTACAAGATAGACTTTTCCAGGGTATGTCAACTGTTCTGAAGACAATGTTGTTAAGTATCAGATTTGGCAGATCAGATAGATAATGATGTGCCTTGGAAAGACGGGGCTATTGATGAGCCTTGTGTCAAAACTGATTGCCATATATGGGTGATTCTTTTCCTTTCTCTGTTTCCCTGGTTTCAGTTTCGTGAAGATTTTCATGAACAACAGGCAGTTTCAATTCCAAATCAAAATTGTGCTGTAGTAACTGTGTCTTATTCTGCTTTCACATGGCAGCATTTATAACTGCTAATCAATTCGTGGCCTTTTCGAGGTGAACTTTCAAACATACCATTATTTTAAAATAATCCTTTTTTATTACTATTCTGAAAACAATAAATTCACCCAATACTATCGAATTTCCATGGAACTGTTTCATTGGCAAGGTTGTCTCTCTTTAAGAAATGCTTTTTGAGGGAACCAGCAGTTAGCGTAATGGCTATGTCGCTGGACTCCCTTGTAGTCGATCGCGGTTCGCGTCCCGGACCCAGTGGCTTAAAACTCACGCCGGGCACGTGTGTGTGCGTGCCCAAGATCCCAAGAGGAGAATGGAGGAGAAGGGATTGCAGCGTGACCATCCCCCCTGGGGGGTGATTTCTCGCTTTCTGTCTCTATGTCTCTCTCTGTCTGTCTGGCAAGCGCACACGCCCTATAGTGAAAATCTCTCCAAAAAAAAAAAAAATGCTTTTTGAAGGAACTCATGCAGAATGTGATCTGGACCAATTCATTGGGATGAGCAATTGAGCAGCCAAAGGAAGGAAAAGAACTCACGTGCTGAAACTGTTTGTTTTAGAAGTTTCGAAAATGCATTCCCTGGGAGTGTCTGCCATTGAATGAAACTCGTTTCTATTCCCTTTATAGTCATCACATGTCACTCCTTGATCTTCAGGGAATGTCTGTTCAACCAAAGTATGACAGTGGCAGTTCTGTTTTGAAACAATTTTTTCTGCTATACAAAAGCTTGAGATTTTTCCAGCAGAACATTATAGAGGCGAAGTACTAACTATCCCATCACCTTAGGATCAACGCAGGGCACCTCGTGTATATAGTTGCTGCACACTCAGCTTGAAGGTCTGCAGACTGACAAATTTTAAGATGAAGCTTAAAGATATTTATAAAGACAGGTCTTTGTGAAATTGTCAATGCTCCAGACCTAGTGCATGTCAAGACCACACCTGTCTAAGAGAAAGCAGGTCAATATGTGTTGAAGTAAATCTTCCCAGGATATAGATAAAAATTCAGATTAAATTGAGGTTCAGCTTTTTTTTTTTTCTTGGAAAAAAATGATTTTTAAATGCTGTTTTATAATTTCATCTGACTTCAAAATGGCAACTTGTTTTTATTAGGTGTAAATTGGTTGGAGTATTAGGAAAGGATATACTATTAGTAAGACATTAATCCTTGAACTCTCAGTGGCTTACATAACCAGGTGTAGTTCTCATTGATTTCATACTTATGACCTGCTTAGTGGGAGGCTCTGCTCCATGGCTTGTGGTAGCCCCACCACAAACAGGGACCCTCACCCACTGCTGTGTGGGGGAAGAAGGGGAATGGGCTCTGCTACTACCCTCTCTTCTCTTCTTGGGCCCGGAAATAATGTACTGTACTTCAGATTATGCACTGGCCAGAACTAATCCTGTGGCCCTACTAACTGGAAGGAGTCTGGGATGTGTAATCCCTCCCCTGCAGAAAGAAGAGAACCAAATACTAGGTAACACTAGAAATGTCCATGACACTTGGTGTGGAGTGTTTTGTAGCACTGTGTACCCACTAGAATATTTTCTTCCCATAGTGATTCATAGTGAGCACAACTATAAGAAAATATTGGATAGTATGGTGGTAAAGTTTCAAACAAATTATACTCTTTAATATAAAGTATAAACTTTGTATATAAGCCCTAACTTAAGAAGAAAGGAAGGGGTTCACTTTTGTATTTTCCTAAGAGGAGAAATGAGAGGGAGGAGGGAAGGAAGCAAGAGCTTTCCTCTGCCTCCTATGAACATCCCCAGCACATCCTTGTGGGCATTGGTCCCATTTTACTGCTGCCAAGGTCCACATTTTTCTGAGCGGCAGAACATGGTTTCAGATCCTGGTCTGACTTCATTCCAATGACCAGGAATTCCCCTCATCGTCACACTGTCTTCTCTTCCTGCCAGTAGCTGCTTGGAACTCGTGTCACACAGGCATTTCCAGCAGATTTCTAACAGCATCGCCAAGAACAAGTGATTAGCACTATAGACATGGCTGACATGAAAGAAACCTTGGACTCCGTAGGCAGTGAAGGATGCTGGAGACGTAGTCATGTAGAATGCGTTCCTCTACTCTGGAATCTGGGTTTCTTCGGGCAGATAATAGGAGCAGTCCCAGAAAACTAGCCATGTTCTTCTTCCATGAATGCTCTATACGTGGACTTCAAGCCTCTTTCCATAGAAGACCCTCAGCCTCCACAGATCCAGTCCTGTATGGAAGTTAGACAGAGTAGGAGAGAGATAGCTTTGTTCGGTTTTGACTTCTGACACTTTAAAGAGATCCAGCCTGTGTGTGTTACTGTCCTGGGTGGTCTAGATTTTGGTGTGACCGTACTACATAAGTACAATACTAGTCCTGTGTGAGCAGGACTAGCGGGCTGTATAGGCAGTGTGTTCTGTAAGAGGAATAGTAGAATGTTAGCGTGGAGGTCGAGAAAGGCCTTGGAAAGGCCGGGGCGCAGGTGGGTAGACAGCTGGAGGAGGCGAGGGTGTTTGTACTTAGGTGGGAGGGGCAGGAAAATCATCTGAACAGACAGGTGAGTGTGCTCTGAACTGAAAGTCTGGCTCAGCTGTGGTGAAGGCTGCAGGTAGAAGAGATGGCAAATAGGACTCTACATATAGCGACTGGCTTCTCTTGGGGGATCTAAATGGCTCTCATGAAACCTGCACACTGAGCATGCTGCTGCTCAGGAAGGGAACACAGCTGCCCACGTGGGTTATTGTTAGGAGGCCCACAGGTTGAGACTGCCCCTCCACCTTGGTTCGTGGCATTACCATAGTAAGTAGCACCATTGTCTCAGGCTTTACTGAGAAAGAGCATTCTGAATTGGATCAAGGGGTGATCCTGGGGTGTGGCAGAGAAAACCAGGGAACAGTGGCCTTGGGTCAGACAGATCCAGGCTTAAACTCTGGGTAAGTGACTTACAGACAGCAGAGACTCAGGGCAAGTTACTTGAGCTTTCTAAACTCCAGGTTTCTTACCTATAAAATGAAGATGTAATGCCCTCTTCCTTAGAGGGCTGAGAGCATTCAGTGTGAAAATATTTAGAAGGTTTAATTCATAAGGGCTATCCAAGTAAATACTAGTTCCTTTGCTTTCCCGCTCTCCCTATTCACCTGAAAGCATGTGCGCAGGGTCAGAGCATCAACATTTCTTGTTGAGTAGCCGGCTTCCGCCACCACAAACACGTACCCTCACCCACTGCTGTGTGGGGGAAGAAGGGGAATGGGCTCTGCTACTACCCTCTCTTCTCTTCTTGGGCCCGGAAATAATGTACTGTACTTCAGATTATGCACTGGCCAGAACTAATCCTGTGGCCCTACTAACTGGAAGGAGTCTGGGATGTGTAATCCCTCCCCTGCAGAAAGAAGAGAACCAAATACTAGGTAACACTAGAAATGTCCATGACACTTGGTGTGGAGTGTTTTGTAGCACTGTGTACCCACTAGAATATTTTCTTCCCATAGTGATTCATAGTGAGCACAACTATAAGAAAATATTGGATAGTATGGTGGTAAAGTTTCAAACAAATTATACTCTTTAATATAAAGTATAAACTTTGTATATAAGCCCTAACTTAAGAAGAAAGGAAGGGGTTCACTTTTGTATTTTCCTAAGAGGAGAAATGAGAGGGAGGGAATGAAGCAAGAGCTTTCCTCTGCCTCCTATGAACATCCCCAGCACATCCTTGTGGGCATTGGTCCCATTTTACTGCTGCCAAGGTCCACATTTTTCTGAGCGGCAGAACATGGTTTCAGATCCTGGTCTGACTTCATTCCAATGACCAGGAATTCCCCTCATCGTCACACTGTCTTCTCTTCCTGCCAGTAGCTGCTTGGAACTCGTGTCACACAGGCATTTCCAGCAGATTTCTAACAGCATCGCCAAGAACAAGTGATTAGCACTATAGACATGGCTGACATGAAAGAAACCTTGGACTCCGTAGGCAGTGAAGGATGCTGGAGACGTAGTCATGTAGAATGCGTTCCTCTACTCTGGAATCTGGGTTTCTTCGGGCAGATAATAGGAGCAGTCCCAGAAAACTAGCCATGTTCTTCTTCCATGAATGCTCTATACGTGGACTTCAAGCCTCTTTCCATAGAAGACCCTCAGCCTCCACAGATCCAGTCCTGTATGGAAGTTAGACAGAGTAGGAGAGAGATAGCTTTGTTCGGTTTTGACTTCTGACACTTTAAAGAGATCCAGCCTGTGTGTGTTACTGTCCTGGGTGGTCTAGATTTTGGTGTGACCGTACTACATAAGTACAATACTAGTCCTGTGTGAGCAGGACTAGCGGGCTGTATAGGCAGTGTGTTCTGTAAGAGGAATAGTAGAATGTTAGCGTGGAGGTCGAGAAAGGCCTTGGAAAGGCCGGGGCGCAGGTGGGTAGACAGCTGGAGGAGGCCAGGGTGTTTGTACTTAGGTGGGAGGGGCAGGAAAATCATCTGAACAGACAGGTGAGTGTGCTCTGAACTGAAAGTCTGGCTCAGCTGTGGTGAAGGCTGCAGGTAGAAGAGATGGCAAATAGGACTCTACATATAGCGACTGGCTTCTCTTGGGGGATCTAAATGGCTCTCATGAAACCTGCACACTGAGCATGCTGCTGCTCAGGAAGGGAACACAGCTGCCCACGTGGGCTATTGTTAGGAGGCCCACAGGTTGAGACTGCCCCTCCACCTTGGTTCGTGGCATTACCATAGTAAGTAGCACCATTGTCTCAGGCTTTACTGAGAAAGAGCATTCTGAATTGGATCAAGGGGTGATCCTGGGGTGTGGCAGAGAAAACCAGGGAACAGTGGCCTTGGGTCAGACAGATCCAGGCTTAAACTCTGGGTAAGTGACTTACAGACAGCAGAGACTCAGGGCAAGTTACTTGAGCTTTCTAAACTCCAGGTTTCTTACCTATAAAATGAAGATGTAATGCCCTCTTCCTTTGAGGGCTGAGAGCATTCAGTGTGAAAATATTTAGAAGGTTTAATTCATAAGGGCTATCCAAGTAAATACTAGTTCCTTTGCTTTCCCGCTCTCCCTATTCACCTGAAAGCATGTGCGCAGGGTCAGAGCATCAACATTTCTTGTTGAGTAGCCGGCTTCCGAAGCGTGTCTGAAAAGGACACAATGTGTGAACCCATGTTCTGCTGACCACCTTGTTGCCGTTTCACTGATCAAGTTAGTAAATAGGAAGCAGGCTCCTAGGAAGGAGGGCAGAAAACTGGCTAGTTGTTTTTCTGTTCACTAGGTGATTGACAGCAGGGCTGGAAGTTTGACTGGGCCAGTGGGGCTACTGTCAGGAGAGCTCAGGTGAGGTGCCACCGGGTAGGAGGCCACCACAGGGAAGGAAGGAGGTGGGACGTAGGTTTTATCAGCATCTTGTTTTTGCTTAGGGACGATGGCTCTGTCCTCATCCTTTATAGTGTCATCACTGTGAGCGCACAGTTTCCTAAAGGAGGAGTAACATTTTAATTAGTCACAAGGTACCTGATTTCTGATATATCAGTTCTTTTCTCCAGGCCTCATCGTTTCATGTTATTTTTGCCCATGTCCGCCACTTGCCTACTCTTTTCATGTGTATCAGAAAGAAACCACCAAGCAGCCTGGAAATCCTATTACCAGACCTCAGGATATTAATTGTCGAGTTCTCCCCCACGGTTACACAAGTGCTGAAAAAGTGGTTCTCTTTCAATAGTGTCTTGTCAAAACGCCAGGCACAGTTTGTTTTTGACATTTGCTGCTGCTGTTAAATAATAGTCTTGCTTCTGTCATAGCTAATGTTGACTTGAAGGCATTTGGAGGGCATTTCTCAACTCCAGCCTTAACAGCCAGACCTGGTCTTGACAGATATTTTTCTTTGCTTGCCCAAGGCAACTGAGTGTAAGTGTTGCAACTTTGCTTTTCTAAGCTCTGAGACAATTTCAAATGGGCATGCACCACTTAAAAGTTTAGATCCACTTGTGCACATGCACATACTCACACACACATACTCAGGTTGGAGCTCTTGAAGTGTCCTGAGGAAAGATATTTAAGTGAATTAAACAGTGTCCCGTATTTGGACCCCTCGAACCCGCTGTTCTGTCTTAGTAAACTTCTGTCAGTTAGAATGTCATACTTAATTACAGATCTCTTTAAAATCAGTAGGCATTTTTATTGTTTCTGTATTTGCAATGGTGCAAGCCCCTAAACCCTGCCCAGTTAGCTGCATGTGCTGCGTGCCATCTGTCAGAGAAAATCTGGGTTCTTCATGCGCAACGCTTTATTGTGTTGCCATGTCCATTAGGAATTTAATTTATGCTCCTTTTTCCCACTTTGGTGCAAAGGCATCTTTTGAAATTTCCTTTCATGCCTTATAAACAAGTATGTAGTGATTTCTTCCTTATTTAGTTGTTATTTCATCCTTTATGAAGTAATGAAGAGGAGGGCAAGACAAAACATTGAGTAAAACAAATGAGAACAGTACAAGAGTTCTGTGGAATGTGCAGGAGTTGGCACTATGTGTATGTGCAGAGGCCAAGAAAGGCACTGTTGGCCTCAAAATCAATACCACAGGAATGGTTAAACACACAAGACTGTTGTGCCTTTCTAGAAAAATAGAAGTATGTCGGTCACCAGAATTGCTAATAATTAAGGCAACTAGGTTCGAAGCTTTATACATGGTGCTGCAGTTTGTAAATCTAGTGAGTGGGTGTTCCGCTAACACTCTTTTGACCATACCTATTTTCCCAAATTCAAGTTCATCTTCAAATTTTGAGAAGTAGTTTTTAGAAATTTCCACAACTACAAAAGCTGAGCATATGAATTGTTCTGCCATCAGCTCTCACTCACACTCTTTTTCCTTTTGTCTGAGACTGATATTTGATAGGCTATTTTAGATAACAGCTTTTTAGCAGATAGAGGATTACAGATTCCTTGAAAATCAAATGTAGTCATCCTGTGATGATTCATATATAAAGCCTCCAAAAAGTTCTTGGGAAATGTTTCTTATGAAGAAACTATGAATAGGTTTCATTTTTATACCAAGTAATTAATTCTATTTTTCCATAACCTTTTTGAAGTATCCTCATATACCCAACAGCCACATAACTAATATGCAGGACTTATAGAGAAGAACGGAGGAGCTGGAAGGAACCCTAAAATTCACTGAAGACAGTTCAATCTTGTCATTTTATAAATACAGAAGCAAAAACACACATTGATTAATTTCTTGTCCCAAGTCACACAACTGATCAGTGGCAGAATCAGACATTTCAGTAGCGTAAAGAGGGTAGTAGCATTTTGTTTTATGAATCATGGAGATTTCATTTTATTACTGTGCAAGATTTATGGCAATGTAGCCTATATGTTGACAACTGGTAGGAAATGGGCATTCATAAATTTTGAATGTTTCTATTATGAAGGGCAATTATTTGTTACCTGAAGTAATGGCTGGTAAGCAGCATTGACTATTAAATGCTTTACATATACCACCTCATTTAATTACTCCAAAAAAGCTCTGAGGTAAACATTATGATCCATAAAGTACATGGTCAGTACTTTATATGTGAAGAATCAGAGTCTTAGAGAAATTATGTGTAACCTGTGAAGGTCACATTAGAACATTCAGCTGAGGATGGAGCCCAAGACCTTCTTGTTCTTGGGATCCACACTGTGGGCATCAACACAGGGATTTGGCAGAATCTAAAATTTTAGATGTGAGTTTTGCTAGTATAAGTCCTGGCAAAGAAAAGGAGTCCTGAGTCTGTAATTCACTATTTTGTGATGCACTAAGTTAGTTGCCTTGAAAGGAGAACTGTAGAGAAAGATTGTTTGCATCATGACTTACTAAAGTGGATCATTTTACACCTAAGGATTGGGTTAGATAGTTTCATAATGAAGAAAAAGGACATAAAGCACACCTTACATTTTCATTTATGACTTAAATTTGAACCTCGAAGCCAAACTATTGTTCTCGATTTTAAGATGAAAGTTGGCATATTGAGACAAATCTGAAATGTTGGCATGTCCACAAGAGAATAACTATGAAACGGACCATCATTTCCTACATTTTCATTATCCTTGTATATAAAAACTTTAAAAACCACAAGCACCATTTATGAAGTTTGAAGTGATTTCTACATAGTTTGATCCCTTACATTTTGACATTCATGACCTTAATCTTAAGGTAGATTAGAAAAAATATGATTAGGTTAATTGGCAGATCAATGACTCCAATTAATGAATAAACGGAAGAGGTTAATTATTTCCCCTCCCTCTGCCCCACCTTCAGCTCTGGAAAGGATAGTCCCACACATCACATTAAACTCCTTTTCTCCCTGAGCACACCCTTCCAAACTAGGCCAATCAAGAAACTAGAGCTGCAGGGTCCTGTGGAGGAAGGAGGTCGACTGAATGGTTATCTGATACTGACAGCTGTATCAGTTGGGACTTTTGGAGTTACACATGTTGGAGCTATAAACATAAGAAAAAGGAGTGCATTACTGAGAGAAGCAGAAGCAGTAGACAATTAGGAAAAGGGAGGTGGTAGAAAGAAACCATCTGATGTCTTTCTACTTCTTTTGAAATCCATGCTTTCCTCTAATAAACCCTTTAAAAATAACTTAAATTGGGTGTTTTTCCATTCTCTGTAACCAAATGACAATGACAATGACAAAGATAGTTTGTTAGCGTTCTCTTTACCAATTAAGGCTAGATTCCATGTAATATATAATTATAGATGCCATACAGACAACTGTGTTCCTCAGTGGGAAAAGAAGCCAGCTCACCAAACAGTTCCTATGAAGATTATCTGGAGAAATTAGAAGTATGATTTGAAGTAAATGATCTCGGAGGCCCATTTAACTTGAAGTTCTAAGGTCATCTGGTTTTCAGACATTACCTGCATTCAATTTTATGCAAAACTTGCCTTTTCAACCCTTTTCCTACCCAGTCCTAATTCTCACTGGACTAGTATAAGACACTCCTGATAACCTACGTAGTTAAACGTGAGCTAGCCATACTTTCTTTTTTAAGGATTTTCTATTGGAACAAGAACATTTAGACCAATGAGGCTGAGACACCACTGAAGCAATTACCATGAATCCAAGTCAGACTACAACCAAACTTTTTCAGTCTCTTCTTTGAATTGAAAGCTAGGAAAATTTGAAAGGGGATTCTAGAACTTTCCAAAAAATCCATCTCAAATTTTTAACTGTTCTCATCTTTACTTGGCATTTACCAAATACTAGGTGCTATGATTTGATAATGGTTTGTTCCACAAAGGTATGTTTTTAAACTTGGTCCCCAGTGTAAAGGCATTGGGAGATGGAGAGACCTTTGAGAGATGATATCTGCTGGGCAACATTGGCTCATCGAGCCAATTCATCACCCTCATTAATGGATCAGAGATATCTTATGAGACCGCACAAAGAGTGAGTTCTAAGTTCCATGAAAAGGAGTTTGTTCTTGTGAGAGTGAGTTATGAAAGAAAGATGGCTGTCCGTAGGTCTCTTTTTTGCATGTGCCTGTCATCATCTTTGCTTCTGTCAGCCAAGTTGTGATGTAGCACCAGTGGCCAACCTATTTTCAGCCCCACACCCTTGTACTTTCTAGTCACCAGCATTATAAGCCAAATAAACCTTTATTCTTTATATATCCAGTCTCAGGTATTGCTTTTTAACAGCAAAATATTAAATAACAGACTAAGACACTAGGTTAAAGGACTTGGGAGATGTATTTACTCTTTAAGATATAAAACCACATTTTGCTCAATTTCTGCTGCAAAACCCAAAATAGACAGGTTGTGGGACTTACATTGGACAAATCTTTATGTGGTGTCACAATTTAAGAGAAAGACCACTATGTCTGAGCTTATACTTCATAGACATTCTGTATAACTAGAAGGCCAGGTTTCCAGGGCTTGCTGCTAATCCTATATTGCTGACTCAGCAAAATGGGTCCCAGTAGAACACTGCCCCCAGCATCAGAATGCCTTTTGAAAGCTTCTTGTGTGGATTTGTTCAGGAGCACCACCTCTAGTCGTCTGACTTAGGTCTCTGCCCTAGCAAGCTGAACAACTTGAATTTTCAGCAAGTCAGGTAATTCCATTGGGACAGGATGTCTTTAGAATTCAGAATGAGATACTCTTCTCTTGGTCTATACACTTCTTCCTTAGTGAAGTTGATACACTGGGTCAGTGTCCTCCTAAATATCATAAACTTCACCCCCCCCCCTTTTTTCTTTTCATAGTTACTGAAATGAATGTGGAATGGAAAAAAAAACTTACCATTTAAAGTCAAGCTATGAAGGGAGATATTAGGTCACTGTGGCAACAGACAAAAGTTCTGAGAACTAGATTTGGAGATAAATACAGTAAGGTCACCCCTTATGTCCTAGTTTTAAATGAATCATCCTGTCTGCTCAGGCCAAGTGGTATTCTTTTCACTTGATTGACTTTAGTTCTTACCTGTCCTGGGAAGTGCCTGTTTCCAAGGGTGACACCAATCCATAAACAAAAAATTAACGTATCCATCTAAAATCCTTCCAAGTCACAAATAGAACCTTGTCCTACCCACCACAGAAATTTAAGAGGACTGAGATTTTCAAACTGATTTTGGGAACAAAAAAATCTATGTAGGAGAAAGTTAGAAACAATATATAGTCATCTAATTAAATCACAGGTTGGTTCTTCCTCCTTTCAAATAATACCATTAAAAATTAGAAAATATAGAACATGATGAATTTTGAGGTGGGAGGACTTCTTTAGGCCTAGAGTGATTTGTGATTGGGAATGGCCTACAGATATATTCAGAAGACCTTGTGATTTTTCTACACCTCATTTACCCCAAGACTTGGCTCCTTCTCAGACTTTCTAAATCTCAGGATCCCCTCATATCAATTGACCAGAAAATGAATAAAGATATAAAAGACCTATGCACTGCCTTAGTCCATTATTATGTGGCTTACCCGAGACTGGATGAATCTAAAAGAATAGGCGGTTTCTTTGATTCATAGTTCTGATGACTAGGAAGTCCAAATGTACCATGGGGAAGATGAAACTTTCAGTAGAAAGGGGTGTGGTCTGTAACCATGTGGCTTTCTTGTGAACTCTTCCAGAACTCAATCATAGAGGCACTTCCCTAATGACATTATTATACGCAAAGTTCCCACATTTCCACGTCTTGATCAGGTCAAGTTTTGCCCTCTTAATCCCATTACAATGACTGAACATATGAATTTGGAGGGGGACATATTCAGACTATAGAAGAACATAATCATAAATGTAGAGATGGTAGATAAAGATAGAACCATGTGCCCTGAAGGTAGAAAAATTGTTTTTAATCCACAGAGCAGCTACAGTAACTGACCAAACCATTGACGACTCCAAAAAAAAAAAAAATGCATTTTTAAAAAGGAGCAATAATATAGGCATCTTTTTTGTTTATAAGTGATAAAATTAAAACAATAAAAAATTGGAGAATTTTAACAATGCTGTCATTTAAACAACTTTTGGGTCAGAGTAAAAGTACAAATTCAAGTTGCAGACTTTTAAAAAACAATAATGAAAATATTACATATTAGGTTCTGAATCAATAAGATAGAACTAAAGCAGTAATCACAGAAAATGATGTAGCCTAAAATAATCTTATAGAAAAAATGGAGTTGAAGGAATTAAGAATCTAAAAAATAAGGGAAAAAAAAAACAACAATAAAGCCAAAGGAGAACAGAGAAATAAAATGAAGATAAAAGAAATTAATGAATTAAATAATGTGAGAAGACAAAATAAGTAATAAGTACAAAATAGGTCTCTAAGAGAAAAATAGTGAAATAGATAAGACATATCAAAAACTAGGAAAGAAAGAATAAATGCAAACATGATCCATAGCAAGAAGAAAATAATACAGAAACCAAGGAACTTGATCAAACTGTTTTGCACAAATTTATGTATGTAAGATTATGAATCTGAACGACGTTCATATTTTCTCTGAGAATGTAATTTACTGAAACCAACTCCAGAATATACAAATAGACTAATTTCCATAGAAAAAGTTAGAGAAAATTATGAAGGAAGTAATATTTGAAAGTACTAGGATTAGAAGTTTCACAGGTAAATTTAACCAAACCTTTAGACATGGATGATTCTAACATTATTTAAAATATTCCAGAGTATAGATAAAGAAGGAAAACTTCCAGCTTATTTTTATCCAGCAAGGATAACACAGATAACAAAAGCCATACAAAAAAAGAAACAATATGGGACCAACAAGTAGCATAGTAGTTAAGGCACTGGACTCCCACATGGCTGACTGCAGTTCAAGTCCTGGACCTGGAAGTTTGAAATTCATGCCAGGCACATGTGCATGTATGCCCAAAATCCCAAGAGATGAATGAAGGAGGAGGGATTACGGCATGGCCATCCCCTCTGGGGGGTGATTTCTCACTTTCTGTCTTTCCAGTGAACGCACGTGCTCTGCAGCAAAAATCTCTCTCTCAAGAAAAGAAACAATAAATGAATCTCACACATAAATATTGATGCATAAATCCCAAATAAAATATTAACAATGAGGGTCCAGCAGGTGGTGTGGTGGATAAGGTGCTGGACTCCCACTCCTCAAGTCTTGGACCCCATGACTTGAAATTCAAGCTGGGCACATTTGTGTGCATGCCCAAAAGCCCAGGAGGAGAATGGAGGAGAAGGGATTGGGGCATTGCCATCCCCCCCCGGAGGATGATTTCTCACTTTCTCTCTCTCTATCTCTGGTGAGCCCTATGCCAAAAACCTAAAATGTTTATATATAGCTTATATTTAAATATTAACAATGAGGGGCCAGCAGGTGGGGCGTTTAAGGTGCTGGACTCCCACATGTTCAAGTCTTGGATATGTGTATGTATATATCTATATCTATATCTATCTATACCTATATCTATATAAAAGTTTCTAATATGTATATATGTCTTGCATGCGTGTGTGTGTGTAAACAATGAGCAGCATATTTAAAGCATAAGACATCATGACCACATGTAGTTTATCTTAGAAATGCAAAGATGGTTCATCAAAATAGACCCAAGGCCAAAAGAAAGTGAACATTTCTATAGATACTGAAGGTGCTTGAAACAAAATCCTGCAAATGATTGTATTTTCATAAAAACTCTGGAAGAGGCTGGCTCAGTGGCACATCAGTAATGTGCTGCTAAAGTGAAGTTGGATCCATACAGAGGATTGCAGGTTTGGTTCCCTCATTGACCTCTACAGACTAGGTGTGTATATCCTTGATCCGGGCTGAGAAGGATTGGGAGTAGGGGTGGAATGTGACATGGGACCCTGTTGAGGGTTCTTACTTTTCTTTCTCTCTCTGTCTCTTTCATGAAAGAACTGAACAAGAACTTTTTTATAAAGCTCTGGAAGGACAGATAGAAAATGAATGATATTGGTGACTTACATGGACAAAACGTAGGGGCACAAAATAGAACAGATACAAGCATGAATGAGGACAAGCTTCGCAATATGCATCGTTTTGCATAATGTTCATTTTGAGTCATGTGTTCATTTTACCTGTTCAACAATTAACCTTCTTCATGAATGTTAAGTATTACTATTTTAGCTGCCATTTTATCCCAATCCAGGTACTCTAAAGTGTGCTCTTGTTTAAAAAAATTAAGATTCGGGTCCAGCCAGGTGGTGTGGTGATTAAGCAGTTGGATTGCACGTGGCTAACTGCCTGATTTGAGTCCCACACTGGATGGCTTGAAAAACATGCCAGGTGTGTGTGTCTATGTATCCAAAATCCCAAGAGGAAAATGGAGAAGGTATTGCGGCATGGTCATCCCCTCTGGTGATGGATAGAAGAATTCTCTTTTCTCAGTCTTGACTACAGGATGACCTTGGACTTGTTCTAGCACAAACAACCCTATAAATGGGCTTTCTTTTTTCTTTTTTAAGAGAGAGAGAGATTTTTGCAATAGGGCATGTGCACTCACCAGAGAGACTGAGAGATAGAAAGTAGGAAATCATCCCCTGGGGGGATGGCTACGCTGCAATTCTTTCTCCTCCATTCTCCTTGGGATTTTGGGCATGCATATACATGCGCCTGGTGTGAGTTTTAAGCCGCCAGGTCTGGGCCTTGAAAATCAGTCGACTATGTAGGAGTCCAGAAACGTAACCATTACGCCATCTGCTGGTCCTCTACATGGGCAATATAAGCAATATATGATACCAGGACCACAAAACTGGTCTAACAACAATTGGATAAGGTAGGAAAACAAAACTTTAAGTGATTTGCTCAAAGTGTTCTAGTAGAGTCATTCCGAGCCTCCAAACTTTCTTTGTGTTACACTCAACTTCCTTCCTCAGAAAGAACTGTAAAGTAGTTAAGTGGGCAGTGTTACCCAAGACCATCTCAACGGTACTTATGTGTCCTTAGATATCTGCCCCAGCATGGCAATTCTACTGTGTTTACCAAGGACCTTCCCTGTGCCGACACTGGGAACACAGAGCTAGAAGATATCCCCACTTCCTGCAGAGGGATCAGACTAAAAAGGAGCATATTAGTGGACATCGACTAATACCTGCTACTTCTAAACAGTACACAGGGGGCAGAAGAAGCCCACAGAAAACCTTGGAAACCCAGCTAGAGAGGTCAAGCAAGACTTCCTAGAGTTTTAAGGGATGTGTTGGAATTTGCAACACAAAGAAGTAGGAAGGCTTGGTAAAAACACACTGTTAGAGTGTGAAGCCTTTGCCCTAAAGGCCCTCTAACTTCCCCTCTGCAGAAACAACCCAAGGAGGGGCACCCTCTCTTCTCTTTACCTACCGGTTTGTTTATTCTCTGCCATTATATCTCTAGGGTCCAGCCCCATGCCTGAAACCCAGTAAATGTTTAGTAATTATTTGTTAAATGAATGAATAATTTGTCAGTTGTGTTCTTGAAGGACATTTCTAGCCAGAAATTTTTGCTTCAGTGTTCATCAGTGTTCCACTCTGTCAAGCATGAAACCCCCTTGGGTGCTTATTCTTTTTTTCTGAAAGAGCCTGTGCAAGGCTGAGGGTGTAAGGGTACACCTGATGGCTTGAGTATTGGGCCCTGGAACAATAGTTCCCTGAACTGGGTCCTCTTGCCCCTTCCCTTACTTTGTTTCTCCTCCTCTACTTATTTCCCATGAATAACTTCTCCTGTGCTCACAAATCATGGCAAGAATATCAAGAAAGTCTTCAGGCGAAAATTTTCAAGGGCTGCTACAGGCTCTATCCTTGGCTGCCATAAGGCTCTGTACAAATGTCCCGTTGCTATTTATTATTTGCTCTGTGATCTTCAGTTGCTCACATAACTTTCCAAGCCTTAGGTTCACCCTCTGTAAAATGTCCTACCTATTTAGTGGTGTCATTAAAACTTAGAACAAAATACCTGGTGTGTAATAGATGCTCAGTAAACAAGAGCTGAGCTGGTTGCTATCATTACTGGTGGTGGTGATGCCGTGTGTAGAGGTTCATTCATCAGTCTGAGCACAGTCAGCAGAATCTCCTCCTTTATCCCGTTCTGTCTCTGTGTGCAGAAAGCAGTGAGGAGTAGACAAAGATATTGAGAAATTAAACAACCCTAAATGAGTGAGGTGGTGAAATGTGACGTCTTGGAAAATGTAGACAGAAATAAGACCAAAAACAAGGACTTTTTGTATTGCAGGGGATAACGCTCTTCTTTAGCTATCTAAGCCTGTAAATGTGACATCTTGGAAAATGTAGACAGAAATAAATAAGACCAAAAACAAGGACTTTTTGTATTGCAGGGGATAACGCTCTTCTTTAGCTATCCAAGCCTGTGTTTAAGGACTCAGAACTCATATAAAGTCGATTCTTGGTGTCTACCCTAAACCCTACACATTTTAACTTGCCTAAAAGTCTTGGAAAAACTCACTTTTTTTCCCTCCTTCCCTTCTGCTCACTCTTTGTCAGGCTTTTCTGGGGCTTTGCTTCCTCTGCCCTCTCTTGGCTAGACCTCCCAGGTTGCATC